TTGCTCTGTGATTTCAAGAAGGCTCAGCCTGGAACGCGGATAGAGCATACGTAAAGAGCAAGCTCGGTTCCGTTGCGGCCGGAGTTGTATCGGTCACATTCTTACAATCCGCCAAATACTCGTCAAGCGTTCGACCGGCCAACGATCGTTGTCTTCTTAGACATACGGGCCGCGTTTGACTATGCTGACCGAGCTGCGCTCCGCGCTGTCTCTTGAGAAGAGGAGGACCTGAAAAATATGTCAAGGTTCTTCGAGTCACCTATTTTTGAAACTTGGGTCGAGTGCGGGCGCATGGCGGACTTTCGAACTCCTTTAGTATCAACAGTGGTGTGAGACTAGCTGCCCAGCACAACCCTTCCTGTTCAATTTCGCTATGGAGGACATGCTGGAGAGCAATCTGGAGAGCCGCGAACCCTGCGGCTTTGTGATACTTCCGGAGGAACCGACTTCGCGATTTGGATTCCGCAGACGAAAGCGCTGTAATTTGCAATTCCTCACAAGCCACTCAAAATATGCTATGTTGGAGGTGTCTATCTCTCAGTTTAAAATGACCGTCGCTCCTTCGAAGTGTAAAATCTTCTTACAGGACTGGCTACGAGCTGCTCCTACGATTATCAGTTCAAGTCATTCGATGGAAGTGGTAAACAAGTCCGTTTAGCTCTGAAACAGTTCAGCGCTAACGGTTTAACAGTGGGGGTCTCTTTGCGCGTCTCTAAGGCCCGGGTTGCGTTTTCTACTTTGCGCCATCTCTGGTATTGACGCGATCTGAGTCCTTCCATGAAGGGCCGAACCTAAAATACAATGGTTAGAGCTGTCCTGCTCTACAGTTGCAAGACTTGGTCTGTTACGGAAACGACGTTCAGAGGCTGTCTGTTTTCGATCACCCTGTATTCGGAGTATTGCTGGCGTACGGTGGTAACATCACATTGGTAGTGAGAATGTTCGTCTAAGGATTTTCAGATCAGACAGACTTTGTCGATCGCCAGGGTGCGTAATTTCACTGCACAGGCTTCGGTGGCTTGGGCATTTGCTCCGTATGCCCACTAAGCGTTTACATCGCCGTGCATTCTTCGAACGAGAAGAAGTCGGCAGGAAGCGATGAACAGGTACTCAACAAATGACTTGGGACAAGAGTATGAAGGCGCTGACTTCAAAGTTCGCCGCAGTCGGACGCTCTCGACTCCCTGGCTGGGGGTGCAAGGATCACGAGCACATATGGCCGGAAACCCTATCGGATATGGCAAGGAACCGTGCACAATTGCGGACATGTTGTGAGATATCATTCCCGTAACTACAGATTTACACTACTCTCTAGCTCCCCTCTCTACTTTATTTGTCGATTTATTGTAGTTATCCATTTGTTGTGGCAATCTGACAATCGTTATATATATATATATATATATATATATATATATATATATATATATATAAAAGCATGCTTGGCGGTATCCGGTTCCGGATTTGCCTGTCACTGTGTCCTCCATAGGACAGCCACAGAACGTCTGCACCAATAGAGGTACCTTGGGTGACTAGCGGTGCACCACCCACACACCGAATATCCAGTATAAACCCGAAGGAATAATACCGAGAGCCATGGGAGCCACGTTTCATCAACAGGGCCGGTCCACACTCCTTCAACAAGCAGAGCGGAAGCATTCATGCCTAAATGGAAAAATATGAGTACCAGACGTACACAAGGCGTTGGTTGGGCCGTAGCCCGCTCCACACTGGATGCATGGAACCACTCTTTGAGCCTAGCATGGCTATGACTGTGCACACACAAACACCCTAAGTCCCAACAGTGACCAGCTGTCTCCTGGAGCCAGTATAGACGAGTTGGAGGGTAATAGGCAGGTAGACATCTTCTCAGCATTCATATCAGGCGCAGCCACTCCGGGGATATCAACCAACAACCAATGCCCGAAATGCAAGAAACTCAACATGCAGGCACACGTCCAGAACAAATGCAACGACGATGCGGCACACGTACCACATTAGTCGTCTTATTCGCCTGGGTTAGTAAATTGAATCCGAATCAGCCAACTTACTAAGCGCTGCGCTGATAATTGCACGTTTAGTTTACTCGTCTTCTCTTAGATGTTGGCACAACGTGGGAACGCTGCTTGCTTACTAAGCCATCTTGGCTCATTCACTCCTAATCATATGTGCTACAGACAATGCGCTTAACGTCCATTGGCCATCCAAAATCGACACTTGTCGCTTCCTCAAATGACGTTTTTATTCCGCATGCAGTAGTGATTTCTCATGCATCTGGGCAAGCGCCCTCTTTATATGCTCCAATCCAGCGCCAATCCATAGTCATCGCCTCCCAACACCTGAAATCAACAATAGTTCGTGATAAACTCACCTTGATCATGTCCCGGTAACGTAACCTCGATTTTCCCACGTGTATTCCGTGCACGTAGTTGATCATAACGCAGCCGTTTCGGTATCCGGGTCGAATCCATGCGCAATCCACCTCAGCAGGAGGATGAACTCCACTATATACATGGCATTGCGTCAAAGCACCTCCGTGTCTGCAACTCGGTCACCCCAGCCGATGTGCAGAATACGTCACAGGCACTGCTGATGGAAGTGTGACAGATAACGGAGACACTTCCGATCAAGAGTCCGGGTTTCGCTGCCGTATAGAAGAACGGACAGCATCATAAACTAGTACACCATCAACTTCGTCCAAACAATGAGCTAGTGGTTGATCAAGACACAATATTGCAGCTTGCCAAATGTGGCAGGCGCTTTCGATACGCATATGCGCAGTTCGCACGTCATTTGCAGGTCGGCAGACATTACGCCGCCGAGAGTAAAATCGAATTGCTTCCAAAACGTCGTTGCCAATGTGGATTTGAGGCAAGCCTGCGGATTCCACTTCTGGAGAAGGCTGGAACAAACAAACAGTCGTGCTTGCGTTGATGGTGAACCAGAATTCGGCTGTTGTCAAAACGAGAGCCGAAATCATGTATTGCAACTCATCCGCGCTGTGTGCAAACAACCCACAGTTGTCAGAAAACAGTAACATACGGATAGTTGTCTCACAGCCTAGGGTTCTCGCACCAAAATGTCGAATATTCAGCACCGCACCATCAATACGGTACTCCACATGAACACCGTAAGCACAAGCAGCTTCAAACGCACACATCATGTCATTAAGATAAATAGTAAACAGGGCAGGAGCTAAGACACAGTTATGATTCGCACCAGAGACAACAGCAGTCATGTAAGTATGACCACAGAGCCGAGCCCACGTCCGCATACCAATGTGCACACACTCAAATAAAGTTAGAAATTTAAGCGGACAGCCAAGTTTACCCAACACCAAGCACAGTGTCACGCGGTTCACTATGTGAAATGCCTTGGTGCAGTCTACAAACAACGTGCACAATGGCTGGTGTCGATCTCGGCACTTCCGCGTAACTGACGAGCCGCGAACACCATCCCGATGACGCTGAAACCAGAATGAAATCCACATTACTCTTCCGACAGGTTCGGTTCCACAACCTGAATGACGAGGCGGTTGAGCAGGATCCGGACAATCACCTTGCCCACGCAACTCAACAAGTTGATGCCACGATACTTCGTGCAACATCGCTTGCTTCCTTTGCCGTTGTATTTGTAACACAAGAGCATGCTTCAGCTTGCCCGGCAGTCCCAATTCAATCCACAGGCGTCGCATTTACCAAAGCGGGTCCGCCGTGTTTCAACACATCAAGCGGGATCCCATCGGAGCAGGCACAATTGCCGTTCCGCAGCTGAGCAAGTGTTCTATGCGTTTCGTACACTGTCGGTGTGTCGGCAAGACATACCTTCATCTCGTGCTGTTGCAGCCCGTGCAACGCAGCCCAGTCAACGGTTGTTCAATGGACCGCCAAAGTGTGGATGCCAGATATGCATTATATCCGTAGTCAATGTACAGGCAGCGCCTGAAACAGGATCGAGCAGCGTTGGTCCATATACCGCGTTCAAAGAAGCAAAGAATTTATTTTTTTGATGGTGTTCGGCTTCGACTTCTCCGTCCACTATGCATTATTGATGCGACGGGGTTAACGAGCTTGCGAAAATTACTCGCCGCGTAATCGTCACGGTCATCCAAAGGTGCAGCGAACGGTGCATTTTTCGCAAAACATCAGTGCGCCAATCGACATACTCTTGTCATCAAACTAATCGGGCCGATTACGGTTTGGGCGCTCAATCGTTTCTTCGGCAGCAGCAGTCACCCGTTCAAGGATGTGGTGCCACAGGTCGCCCACTGTGGCAACCGATTCGACACAGTAAGACAGATAGTCATCGCCTTCGTCATTTCCAATCTCTTCATAGCAATAACAGGGAAAGAACATTTTATTTCCGCCGGGTCACAGCAGGAGCGCATAACATAGACTTACGAAAATATATGTACAGTTTGGTCCGCACCAATTTGTGATCAGTGCCACACTCAGCTCCACGCAGTACACGTGTCATGCGCACTTCACGCATATCACGCTGACGTACG